TGTGTGTGTGTGTGTGTGTGTGTGTGTGTGCGCGTGTGTATGTGTGTGTGAGTGTGAGTCTGTGTGTATGTGCTTGTGTACATGTATGTAGATGCGTGCGTGCTTGTGTGAATGTGTGTTGGGTTGTGTGTGCGTGCGTGTGTATGCGGGCACAGAAAATAAAACAACAGCTATGTATAACCACAAGCACCGAGGGACTATATAGGCTTACATACCCGAAGATGGGCGGTCCGAATAGCGCGTACAGTAGACCCAGGCAGGTAAAGGGAAGACACGGCTTCTGTTCTTGTCCTTGACCTCTGCGTTCGGTGACCTCGTTGGAAGCTCGTCCTTGACCCCGCCGCACTGATGTGACGTAGATGTGGGCGAGGTCTTCACGCTCAAGGAGCTGGTGGTCATCTCAGTGTTGGTCATGTCAGACACTGAAGGTACCAGCGTTTGAGGGCTTGTGGCATTGCCGCCATTTTTACTGGTGTGTGGTTTGTGGTCACCCGCTTTGATATTGCTACTCTCGAGGTTGTCGTTGCTTTTGTTGTTGTTATTGTTGTTTCTGTTGTTGTTACAGCTGCTGCTACTTTTTTTGCTCGTGTTGTAATTGCTATGTGTCTTACAGTCGTTGCTATTGTTGTTGTTGGTGTTGTTGTTGCTGTATTCCATTCTGTTAACGATGCAGCCATCACCAGCATCACACTCAATATCGATCTTCCTCTCAGTGTTAATAAAATCTACACACAGCTTTTTCATTTTTAAACCATCAAAACTTTCACTTTCAAAATGGCTTGTAGTTTCTGTCGCATTTTCGTCAACGTCATCAAAATGGTTCTGTCCCCTCCAGCTTCTCTGTATCTCTCCAACTTCATTCACCCCTGCAGGGGTCTCTTTTGCCTCGTAAAAGTGGCCCATCATTTGGTACTCATGCTGCATGCCAAGCTCTACGAAAGGAATGTGGTTCTTGGTTTTACTGTTCGAGAACAAATCCTGCTCTTGAAGAGGATATTTTTGTGGCAGATGAGAGGAGAAATATGTCCTAGATGACGCAACTAGAGACTGTAGACTTTGGTACCCAAAAATGTTGGATCCCAATCCATACAAATATGAATGCAAATGTGCCTTAAGCGATTGTGAATTGGCATCACAAATAGGATTTGGAATTAGTTGATTGTACAAAAAATTCATGTAGGATGTTTCACTGATATTGTCTTTGCTCAGTGCACTTTTCTCCATGACGTCATTGCATGAACGTTCTGTAATGGCGTTGTGCTTTTTGTGCTCAGAAATATTCGTCTCAGGTCTCGTACTCCCCGAGATTTCTTGCGTTTTCTGAAAGAGAAAAAGGCACAAGTCTCTTTTGCTATCTTCTGGACTTTCTGATCGCCTGTGTGCGGTTGGAATCTTCCTTTTTCTTCCGTCCAAATCCGATTGACTGATCGATAGGGATGGGCGAGATTTCTGTGGAGTGTTTTTCTTTTGTTTTCGAATGTCTAATGGTTGTGAAATAGACGTCACTACTCGTTCTATGGAAGAAGGCTCGGGTTGCTTCTTTGCCCCGAACGATGGCTTGAGAATTTCTTCTATAGAAAAGTCGGTGACGTCCTTTGAAGAGTTTGCCCAACAGAATTCGTCTGTTTCTGCACAGTGTGCAAGAGCAGAGGAGGAAGTGACGCCATTTTGTGGCGTTATTGCTTGCTCTATTGGGGAAGACGAGTGATGTCGAGATTTCAGAGAAGACAGTGTAGTGTGTGAACAATGACAATTGAAAGCGTTTGGAAGAACTGAGTTTGAGTCTGCAGCAGGAGAATCTAAGTACTTTGAATTCATCCTGTCTAATTGGACAGCCATTTTGTCCTCGTCATTGCACAATCCACTCGATGGCTGCAATTGACTAGGGAAGGAGTTTTTTCTCAATGGAGACGCGTTGGACAATAACCGGAACCGATGCCGTGTCGTAGTTCCGTCGTGTGTTGACGGCGGAGCTGGCGAGTGACGTTGAGCTGTCTCGATGACTTCAGACTTTTCCGTTTTCATGACGTCAGTATTGGAGTCCCCTTCCGTGTGTGGCTCTTGCTTCACCTCCGTTCTAAAGGTCATCGCTGGTTGGCTTTTTGTTTCCTTTGATTAGTACAGTGTAGACCCAACTCGACCACTCTACGATTGCACCAGAAATATGTTTTAACAACCAAAAAAAAGTATAAATAAAAAATTAAATAAAATGTGTCACGACGCCGTGAAATCAGACGCTCGTCAATTTTTGGGCTTGTGGAGTTATTGGTATCATCTTAAAGCTTGTTCATTTGTCTTTATCTGGATGAAAAAAATATCTATTTATCTTGAATACGAGTCTTGATATTTGAGGATGAAGGAGGTGGGGTCACCTGTTTTCAGAGGTAGAATTAGTGAGAAAATAGCCGCCAAAGATTTGTTATTTCCTAACCTTAAGAGTCCGTGGCAACTGAAAGTTTACATTTATTGTACCTTTAATCAGCATTTTTCAGAAAAATCAACGCCGAAATGAGTTGTTTAACGGGCATGAAAGGTGTTGAGTCAAAAAACAAAAATTTGATAAAAATTCACAAACCTGCAAAAAAACACAAATTTCTTCACTTTGCTTATTTTGACGAGAGCCTGATTCCACCCCGCTGCCACACAAATAGATAAGAGGATGTGGAAAACATAACACGGAAGAATTATACAATTGTGATCTTCCAATTTCTTCAGCGAAAATCCAGCTTACTATAAACTGGGTGAATAGACACGATTTCTTACAAGAATACTTCTTTTATTAGCGACTGTCCAATGTTCAATTTGTTTTGTATTTTGAGCACACCAAAGTATGACGATAATAAGAAATGATATGTTTGAATTGAGCCTCCTCGTGAGCTCTGGGTTACTTTTATATGTGCTGTGCTTACACTCATAGGGAACGGCTCACCGTACACGAAACCTTTTCCTTTTCCACTGAAAAGTCAGTAAACGGAACACTTAGAAAATAAAAGCCTGATTGAGACACACAACTATAACGGCCCTGTGTTCAATGTTCAAACTATTACATGTACATAATTTCTAATTTGCCCTTCGCTTTTGTTTGTGTTCTCTCTTCTAATCCTCTCCTTTCCTCTTCAATTCACGATGTTCAATTTGCCCTTTTTTCTTCACTGTTCCACAAAAAAAAAGTACTTTTCTCTTTTCAATGTCATTTGTCATTTTTCCCCCCCTTTTTCTTTCTCTTGTCTGTTGTCGTCAGAAAGGAGGGAAAGTGTGGCAGGCGTCAAAAGGAACAAGTATGACCAGACAGCATGTCGGTCTTGTCCTCTGGGACCACCACGGACAAAATGTTGACTTCTCACTGTGTGTGTGTGTGTGTGTGTGTGTGTGTGTGTGTGTGTGTGTGTGTGTGTGTGAGTGTGTGTGTGTGTGTGTGTGTGTGGTTTCCCCGCCGCTGACTGCTCAAAGAGCTCCTGTCTGGCCTGCCGTTGTCCTCGTCCTGTGTGTCCGTGTGTCCGTCATGAGAAGGTGGAGAGTTCCGCGCGGCTCTCTCACTGTCTGCACCACACTGTACTGTCACAGCTTGTGCTTCAGGGAGGGAGAGAGGGGTGTTCTCTGTGTGGGTCAGGAGTGAGGCAGAAAAGGGGGGAGGGAGGGGGTGTTCTTTGATGGGGCAGGAGGGAGGGAGAAAGGGGGAGGG